GCAGTACGCGCGTTTACTGTTAAGCGCAAAGATACACAATACGCTATATATGCTTTGCCCACCGCGAGTATCGAACTCGGTTTTCAGTGTTGTAAGCCTATAGATTTACCGCTGTGCCGCTAGGTGACCAAGCAGTACACAGTTCTTTACGTAATTTGCAAGGATTATGGTGCTGTATATATATATCACTAAGACACATTTTCAATTAACTATTCAACCTAACGGATGAGACGTTTGAACAGTTTTTTATAATTTCTAGATTTTAATTCATACTTTTATTATCAATCTTTCAAGGAAGAATTAGTTGGAGAATACGTGCCCAAGGTAAGTAACGGCTAAAATGCTTAACAGGGCTAGCTCTAAAGGGCTTGTTACCTAATTTCTATCAGAAACCTCATCCCATAAATTGATTTTGCTTCTAGTCTCACCGAACTTAAACACGATAGTTACCGATAGTGGATCTAATTTCCTCCGAAAGGCGTCGCTGTTACAAATGCGACAATTAATGTATATGTTTCTGCAGTACAACAGGCGTCACGGGTTCCGACTTCACTGGATATCGGTTTTTGTGAAATGTGACGATGAAAAACAAAATAACAATAACAAAAAAACCAGCTTGAAATTACTAAGGAAACGAAGCAGACGTGAATATCGCTTACCATTCTACACAGAACTAATACATTACTTCTACACACAGACTTCAAGTTTACTTGTAGAGATGTGTATGTACTTACATCTGTCAATCAAAGCTAAATTGTTAATGGAAGTCCTTAGTACTTCCACGAATGATGAAATAATATTAGACTTAAAATATTTTAAAGTAGATGAAGTAGTTATTTTGGAAATAATCGTCTTTTTTTATATAATGCTCGTAAATTTACATATTTAAATCGTAATGTTATGTTCGAATTGATATCACACCGCAATCACTAATTGCGTTTGATCCCCTGCGATCCTGATCCCAACGAGATGCCCATCAGCCACGACCTGCCCCGTAAGCTTAATTTCTGGCCACCAACATCCCTGTACTAAAAGTTGTTTGAGAAAAGTTTAATTACAGAGATATTGCTAATTTTTTCAGAAGGGGGCCGTCTTACACCACTTTCCGCAACTTGTAAGTTGTATTCGATGGTTAAACACGTAATAAACTAGCGGCTGGTTAAGTTCAGTTTCCTCCTCTTCTTGGTTATTCAAACAAAGATATTCATCATTACCATCAATACTCCGCCCAGTCTCCCTGCCCATGGAATTCTAGTCATTATAATTAAACTGTCCTCGGAAAAATAAAAATAACGGAGAATGTTTAAACACCAACTCCTCCCACAGTTCTGAAGCTAGCAGACGGATTCAAGACAGCCATTGGGGGGGATATCCTTATCTATACCGCGTAGCCCCCTTACCAAGGGGAGGCTAAAACGCGCTCGAGACTCGGAAGGTCGTTCCAGTTGTGATGGGGTCTAGAAGTAGATGTTCAGGGTCGCTGAACCCAAATATGGCAATCGGAATTTTTATTCCTAGTTCCCCCTCGGCATCTCGGATGCGCCGTGTTTGAAACTGTATTCATATCCCCACTCATAAGCTAGCTAGCTAGCAGAAATAAATTTGGCAAACGTACTCAGGTACCACGGGCGGGTGGATATTTGTCGGTTACGAACCCTCCTTGGGGTAGTCATAGCCACCTACTAAAGGGCACCAAGGGGAGGATGAAACTCACCCAGGGTCACTGAACCCGAATCTGGCATCCGATTTTGGCTTCCTGGTATCCCTATGGATCTCTGGGGCGCCATATTTGAAGCATTATTCATACCTCCTCTCACAAGCTCGTGTTCAGGTACCACGGGCTGGTGTCTTAACGGAGCGTGTTGTCGGGTACGGACTCCCTCTCGCAAGCTAGCGGGAACAGTCGTGTTCAGCTACCACGGGCTTGTTTCTTGACGGAGCATGTTTTCGGGTAGGGACTCCCTTGGGGTAACTATAGTAGTAACTGGGGATAATGGAGGTACACTGGGACTTATGTGAATCACGAGGGGACGTTTGAGCGCCGGTAATTTATGCTAGTAAAATTTAATATACGATATATAGTTTCTGGGTTGAAAACACTTGCTCTAAAAGGTTGGATACATGTCAAGGCAGTCTGTGAACACCAAAAAAAAACTAACAAATTTTGTAATAGATAATGATAATAATAGAGGGAGCCAACTGTTTTTTAACCCTTTGATCCTGCTACAAAACCAACGAATTAATGCTACGCCTAAGGTTCCATACTTGATGTATAAGACCTTAATTATTTTGTCTCGTCGGTTTTACGAAGCCTCCAGCAAAGACGAAAAACATTAATTGACGTTATCAAATAATACAAACGCTCTTCTACTTTATAAGTATCATATACAAGAGCAATGAATATAAATAAAAATAAGCTAAACTAACAAAATCACCTTTCAAGTTATTACAATATGGCGGTTTTGTTAACGAGGGTAATCTTCTTTTAAAAAAGACGCACCTGTTACTTAAGTCAGATTGTGTTGTTGTATACGAAGATAAGGAAAAGACGCACCTATTACTCAAGTCAGATTGTGTTGTATATGAAAATAAGGAAAAGACGCACCTATTACTCAAGTCAGATTGTGTTGTTGTACATGAAAATAGGGAAAAGACGCACCTATTACTCAAGTCAGATTGTGTTGTATATGAAAATAAGGAAAAGACGCACCTATTACTCAAGTCAGATTGTGTTGTATATGAAAATAAGGAAAAGACGCACCTATTACTCAAGTCAGAGTGTGTTGATGTATATGAAAATAAGGAAAAGACGCACCTGTTACTCAAGTCAGATTGTGTTGTTGTATATGAAAATAAGGAAAAGACGCACCTTTTACTGTAGTCAGATTGTGTTGTTGTATATGAAAATAAGGAAAAGACGCACCTGTTACTCAAGTCAGATTGTGTTGTTGTATATGAAAATAAGGAAAAGACGCACCTGTTACTCAAGTCAGAGTGTGTTGATGTATATGAAAATAAGGAAAAGACGCACCTGTTACTCAAGTCAGATTGTGTTGTTGTATATGAAAATAAGGAAAAGACGCACCTGTTACTCAAGTCAGAGTGTGTTGATGTATATGAAAATAGGAAAAGACGCACCTGTTACTCAAGTCAGATTGTGTTGTTGTATATGAAAATAAGGAAAAGACGCACCTGTTACTCAAGTCAGATTGTGTTGTTATACATGAAAATAAGAAAAAGACGCACCTGTTACTCAAGTCAGATTGTGTTGTTATAC